TCAGCTGCTCTTCAAGTTCCTGGCGGCGCTCTTCTTCCTCGTGGAATTTCCTGCCACGTTCCTGGCGTCTCAGCTCTTCCTCGAGTTCCTGGCGGTGCTCTTGTTCCTCACGGAATTTTCTGTTGCGTTCCTGACGTCTCTGCTGCTCTTCTTCGAGTTCCTGGAGGTGCTCTTCTTCCTCTCGGAATTTTCTGTCGCGCCTGAGCTCTGGTTCTCGGCGGAATTTTCTGTCACATTCCTGTGGGCGCCGCCGCAGCTCTTCCTCGCGCTCCCTGCGAAGTTGCTCCTCCACCCTTAACTTTCGGTCTCGCAGCTGCTCTTCCTTGCGCTCCTGGCGGCGCTCTTCTTCCTCTTGGAATTTTCTGTTACGTTCCTGGCGTCTCAGCTGCTCTTCCTCGAGTTCCTGGAGGCGCTCTTCTTCCTCACGGAATTTTCTGTCGCGCCTGAGCTCTGGTTCTCGGCGGAACTTTCTATCCCTCAGCTGCTCTTCCTTGCGCTCCTGGCGGCGCTCTTCTTCCTCTTGGAATTTTCTATTACGTTCCTGGCGTCTCAGCGGCTCTTCCTCGAGTTCCTGGAGGCGCTCTTCTTCCTCACGGAATTTTCTGTCGCGCCTGAGCTCTGGCTCTCGGCGGAACTTTCTATCCCTCAGCTGCTCTTCTTCACGCTCCTGGCGGCGCTCTTTTTCCTCTTGGAATTTTCTGTCACGCCTGAGCTCTTGTTCCCGGCGCAACTTCCTATCCCTCGACTGCTCTTCTTCCAGTTCCTGGTGGAAGTCTTGTTCTCGGCGGAATTTTCTGTCACATTCCTGTCGGCGCCGCAGCTCTCCCTCGCGCTCCCTGCGAAGTTGCTCCTCTACCCTCAACTTTCGGTCTCGCAGCTGCTTTTCCTCGAGCTCCTGGCGGCGCTCTTTTTCCTCTTGGAATCTCCTGCCACGTTCCTGGCGGCGCTCTTCTTCCTCTTGGAATCTCCTGCCACGTTCCTGGCGGGGCTCTTCTTCCTCTTGGAATCTCCTGCCACGTTCCTGGCGGCGCTCTTCTTCCTCGTGGAATTTTCTGTTACGTTCCTGGCGTCTCAGCTGCTCTTCCTCGAGTTGCTGGCGGCGCTCTTCTTCCTGGCGGAAACTTCTGTCACGCTCTTGGCGGCGCTCTTGTTCCTGGCGGAAACTTCTATCACACTCTTGGCGGCGCTCTTCTTCCTGGCGGAAACCTCTGTCACGCTCCTGGCGGCGCTCTTGTTCCTGGCGGAAAC